TCTGCAAATTCTCTTAATTTCTTACACCAGTGTATGCAGTTGTATGCAGCGTTACAATTGCTTTAAAAGATTTCTCAGAAAAAAATAGCAAAATATATTTACTTTGTGACAATTTTTTGCTCAGAATTTAATTTAAAAAAAGTAGTTCTCAACGCAAATGTTAAAAAGGAAATGAGAATAAAAATTTTTATGCATTCATTTGCTATTTATTTATTAATTATTCATTTATAAATTATTTATAAATATATTTTACATTATTTAAAACTCCATACCTCATCAACTTCAAATGTAATTTTTTTTAAAAATCCAAGACGTTTGAGAAATATGATTTATGTTGTTTCATTCACTAAAATAGTTTTTAACTTCCCACAAATAATTACACTTCAACAATTTCAAAATTTATGTCTTCGATATAAAATAATAATAAAAAAAACGAAATCAAAATTCTCGATATTAACTTAAATCTGCAACATCATACCCTATCATTTTAAGAAAGCGTTGCGCATCAGTAACACAACAAGATTAGCATCGTATTTGGCCAACTCTTCAAATGATTTTGTAGCCATAATTTCTTTAACATTGGTCATTATATATTCCAATATTTTTTCTTTCAAAGATTCATCGCCGTGATTAGTAGCCAAGATCAACAACTGGCATGCATTGTTTACTTGAAGATGATGCAGCAAATCTTTAGCACAAGCATTCCGAAGGGACAGCACTTCATATTTATCAGCGGCATAGTAAAGGTCGCAAGCATCGTCAAAATCGTGATTTTCAATGGTGCCGGCATACAGAAAAGTGAGAAGTTCTTTCATTATGGAAGCACGTATATCTTTAACCTCGATTTCATTTTTGACAGCTTCGCTAATGTCGTGATCGAACATCTTTTCGAAAACTGGCGATCTTGCTCTTAGAATCACTTTGTGTGCTTTCATGCTGACACCGTCCACGTGTATTTTAATATCAGTACCATCGATTTGATCTAGAAGTTTCTTAAAATTCACGGACAGTTCTCGCAAGCAGTCTATTGGAGCACTGCAATAATCAGTCGTATTTGTCGCTGCTTCTTTAACAAAGCTCTGATGCTGAACCGGAGCTTTTTCACTGTCCTGAATCGGCGCTGTTACTTCATCAATATTCTGAAATGGTTCTAACAATTCTTCAATGCTCTTCTTAATCACTAATTCACACTTGACAGTCAATGGAAATTTCAATGAAGTCAATGGTTTTTTAAATCCTTTGAGCATATTGGTATACAAACTGTGGTTATAGGGTGCTGTATGACCAAAGATAAAACTTCCTGTTGCATCGAATAGCATTGCTGTATGATTCATATCTCCTTCATAAAAATTTGAGCAAAGTAAATTCAAGAATATTTGATTTGCAAATATACCAATTCGAAGTTGCAACAATTTTATTTCGTCTGTGTCTACAAGCTTGAATGGATCGGTGGCCAAAAAATAATCGGTTAGATCAGTTTCTTCAATTTTCAGTTCAATTAGGAGCATGTCATGTGAAGAATTCGTAAAACGAACTTTATTTTGAATAATGTGAGACATTTTTAAATGTTACAACGGAACAATACTTAGTTTGAAACTGAATGCGTTCGTTTAAAACTGATAAACTTTTATCTCATCTTTCTTTAAATTTAGTCGCTTTCCTTATCTATTATAACATTTTGAAAGATAACTTAGTACCTATACATAGCATTCACTTAGATATTGATACAGATTTGAATTTAAATTCTCAAACACAATGATTAAAAGCTGTTTTTTTTTGGCTTTTTTATTTAATGCAGATTATTTTAATTTTTTTTTAATATTAAAAAGGCCGACAGTGACTAAAAGGAAAATTTCATTCTATAAATTAATTTTCAAAAGTATATAGCAGTTGTAATTTATTTCTTTATTTTTAATTTTTACAACAACTTCAGCTGATCCTGTTCATAAACAAAATTATTTTGACAATTTCAGAGATAACGAGCTTCATGTTTCGAAGAAATGACTATTTCGCGCAAGCCTGATTGTCATTACTTCAATGTGCATTTGATAAAAAATTCCATGAGTAAGCAAATATGTTTTCTAAACTATTATACAGATTGGCTTATTACATAAGATCAAAACTGGTGTAATACCGTAAATTTTTTTTCGGAAAATTATAATGGAAAAACAATTATCATATACCTTTAAAATTGTATTAACTATTTCGAATTTTAAAATAACAGTTTAGTCTAACTCTTAATATCTCCATGAATATAATAAAGCGTAAAACTCTAAATAAAAATTTGGACTAAAAATAAACATTGAAAAAACCCTATTGAATGCATTTCCATTGAACAAAATTTTAAAAAAAAACTGGCATTTTGGAAGTTGTACTATAATTTTAATAACTTGAGTTGCTAATTTTAATTTTCCAACTTTTGGTTAAATTTTAATAATTGAGTTAATGAGCATTTCTCACATTTTCCAACCAAAAACTACTACAAATCTCAAATTTTATTTCTCTATATATTTCCATCAAAATTTGAACACAAAAGAAAAAAAATTATCAATATTTATTAATATAACTACTTCTCAGATAAACATGAAATTATATACTATGTACCTTACATTGTTTATAGTGATATAACTATAATTTTTGTCTAAATATTGATTCAAAGATTACTTTTTCATCTAATTGTGATTCTTTTTTAGTGTTTTTATTTCTTCAGAAATCCTCATATCATACCAAACAAATATTTTCTAGATTTTTATAGAACGTCTCAATAAATTTATTTAAAATTATTGTTGCTTGTGTGCCCTGTTATCTTTTTTAAAAAATTATTCTGTGAAAATAACGTTTTCAAATTTTATTAGGGTTTCAATTATGTAAAGTGATATCCTTTACTGGTTTTTTGTGACTCATATTAATTTGCTTCAACTGTTTTTAAAAACATGCAACGAACTTTCCGCATAACGTAAGATAATAAATTGACAAATAAGAAATTAAAATTATGTCGATGCCTAAGTCACCAAAGCAGTTGCCCATAAAATTATGTACAGTAAGGAACAGTCCCATAAGGGTTATGCTTTATGCAAGCTATTATGAAGCAAATTAACATACGTCAAATAAAGACTTAGCAACCACATTGACTGTTGATGGACTCATCCAGCTTTTACAAAAATTAAAGTAAATTTAAATTTGCTCAAAAATTTTCCACAAATTAAATACATTTTACTAATTTTTCTGAGATATCTTTTAAAACAATTTTTTTTTTCAAATACACTGATGTAAGAAATTAAGAGAATTTGCAGACTTGGTTGATTATCTCTAAGAACTACTGGATCGATTTTAATGAAATTCGATCTGTACTTACAATGATACAATACGAAACAAATAACCATTCAACAATTGCAATACACTCGCATGAGCGTGTGCAACTCTCGTTGGAGTCGGATGGTATGAAATTGCCACAAGACAATTCAGGCCAATTGCCACTGGAAATAAAAAAAACTGCTTTATTTCAAGTATGAAATCGCGCTGTAAGACCTGTATATCTGTAAGAAAGGACCATACCCCCTATGAATCCATTTTTTGTTGTTGTTTATTCTGCAACCGCTGTTTCATACCTTCCGACTCCAAAGAGTGTTACCCACGATCATGCATGTGTATTACAATTGTTGAATGGTTATTTGTTTTGTATTGTATCAATGTATGTACACATCAAATTTCATCAAAATCCGTCCAGTAGTTCTAGATCAATCTGTATCGATCAATAATCGACCAAGTCTGCAAATTCTCTGAATTTCTTACACCAGTGTTGTAATGCAATTCCCCCCCCCCTGCTCTCAATTGCTCACCAACCTCTAAGACTGCAGTTCTGTTAAGATTATTTCTAATTAGCTACTAGACTAAAACTGCTTGCACACTTAAAATAAAAAGTTTTGAAACAATTCTTTTGATAATAACTAAAAACTCTCTACATTTATCCATTAAATTAATTTTTTTAATACCAGTGGTTCCCAAATGGTGCTTCGCAGAACCCTAGAGTTCCATGAAAAAGTTGAAAGAGTTCCAGGAGTCGGTACTTTTTCGTAACCGGTAAGGATACTTGAAACCTCTGATTATATTTGAATCTAACCTATAATTCATAATCTATTTAATCTTTTGGTTGCCTTTATGAAATTATTGCAAGTGAAATGCCAATGAAATAGAAATACCATTTTTTAAAAAGAAAATATAATATTTCTAATAATAATATATTAAATAAATTAGGAAAAGAACAAGCATTTATAAAATATCGCATTAGTATTTTTTTTCCAAATCAAATTAAAATTCTTTAATAACGAAATATGTTTCCCTAATAACCATTTTCAACGTTTATAGCAATTCTTTTAAGTTTTCATTTCGATGTAAACCATAATTTGATTTATTTTATTCATTTTCAGGTTATGTATGTACACCAAAAACAAATTCATTGCAAGACTGGATACAACACAGGGATTGCAAATTTAACTATCGGACATAGAATATAGTTTAAGATTATTAATGACATAACAATTAAAATCTTCATTTCTCTAACTAAATATTTTAAAAATAGTCTTTTATAGATTTTATTGATTTGACAATTACCTTGATAAACTTTATTTACAGTCCCTGGCCAAATATTTAGACGCACTATAAAATGCTATGCGAAATCTTCATTATTAGGCAATACTATACAGCTTTATTGTTTTTACGCGACTGAAACCGGTTTGTACTTGTTTACGTTCGTAAATCAATTGGTTAAATTAGACGATATGTAATATAAATTTAACGATTGGATAAATTAGACTATACATTATATTAATATGGAATATTTATTATATCAGGTTAGTATATTATAATATTTTGACCAAATTATTAGACGCATTATAGTTTTTGTTTTTTAATAATTACATGTTTTGCACGTGTTTACATGCAATACTTTTATATTTAAGCATACATGTAATGGGTTTTTATTCAGGAGATTTTTTATATATTTCCAATTTGTATTTATTTTAAACGTATTGCATTACAATGCTAACCAATTAATAAACGAACGTAAACAAGAGCAAACCGGTTTCAGCCACGTAAAAACAATGAAGCTGTATAGTATCACAAGATAATTAAGATTTTACATAGAATCTTATAGTGCGACTAATAATTTGTAGTCCGGGGTCCGCGAAAAGAAGTTTGGATTATTTAGGGTTCGTAGCTGAAACAAATTGGGAACCACTGTTTTAAATCAATGCTTATAATAAAATAAAAGGTATTAGTAATTTAATTCAATTTTGTACGAAAAAAATATTTAAATAAGCGTAATATTTAAGAAAAAATTCATTATTTAAATTTTATTCATTTATATATCAATGCATGCTATGTTATATCTAAACACAATATTTTAATACCTACAGCGTTTAAAAGTATATAATGTTTAAAATTAGGCTTTATTAAAATGCATACGTTGTTAAAATGTAGAAGATCCACGGTTATTGGTTATTTAATTACAGGATATATTTATGTGTAAAAGATATTTATAAGCTTTAGGTGTTTTTCCTATGGTCAAAAAGCTTTAAACCTTAGTGATATTTAAATTTATTATAATAACTGTAAAAAAGTATTTCTCAACGCAAGTATTAAAATTAAAATAAGAAGGAAATCATTTATACATTTATTTACTATTTATTTATTATTTATTTATAAATTATTTATAAAGATGGTTTGTATTATTTAAAACACTATACCTCATCATCTTCAAAAGTAATTTTATTTCTAAAACTAATAATCTTATTGATCGGAATAATATTAGAACTGCTGAAACAAAATAAAGGCCTTTAGTTTACTGTTGTGCTTACAGCAAAGAGGTTTAAATATAATTTATAAAACTTGTTCTGATAATAAACATTGAATTTTTAAAAAAAATGTACTATGGCATGAAACTATTAAAAAATGCTCTGCTTGTCTATTACCCTTGCCCTTCTATTTGAAAAAACATAGATTGTTACCTATACAATTCAAATTTCAAACTAGTGAAGAAATAATATCTAAAACCATACAATATATAATTTATATACATGACTATATCAATGCGTACTACATTTAAATATACTCATGTAAATTTTAAAGCATGCATTATTTCAAAGCATTCAACATTTCAATGCTTGCAATACTTAAACGTATGCAAGTTTAAAGTAAATTCAATTTTGAAACATATAATACGTTATTTAAATATAGCCATATAGCCAATAAGTTCTTTAATTATGACCAACAATTATTATAGTTGTAGGTTTGAAGTGTTACGATAATTAAACGATTTATTTCTCAATGATATTAAAATGTCAATTAACTATCATATAAATAACAATTCTCACAATGTTTAAATTAAAATAAGAATGATACTCTTTTTTACTCTAATGAACTTGTGTATTTAAAACTCGTACATTGTAAATTTCAAATGCACTTTTTCTTCCATTCTTGAACTTTTGAAAAAGATTACTTTAGTTAATTCAGGTAATAAAATAATTCATTATTTTTCACTTTAATAACTTAGGGTTATTTTTTTCAATAAGGAATGTCTAAAAAAGAAAAAATCTGACTCCTTGAAGTAAATTTAAATTACAATTTCATACATTATTATTTTTTTACAAGGTTTGATATTACTATTCCGACTTATACAGCATATGGTTACGCATTAATAACACAACAAGATTCGCATCATACTTAGCTAACTCTTCAAATGATTTCGTTAGTACAATTGCCTTAAAATTGTTCTTTATGAACTCCAATATTTCTTTCTTTAAAGATTCCTCACCATGGTTTGTCGCCAAACTCAGTAGCTGGCAAGCATTGTCCACTTGAAGATGGCGTAACAAATCTTTCTTACACGCATTCCGAAGGGACAGCACTTCATATTTATCAGCAGCATAGTAAAGGTCGCAAGCATCGTCAAAATCGTGATTTTCTATTGCGCCAGTATACAGAAATGTGAGGAATTCCTTCATCATGGGAGCACGTATGTCTTTAATATCGATTTCATTTTGGACAGCTTCGCTTGTGTCGTGGCCGAACATTTTTTCGAAAACTGGCGATCTCGCTCTTAGAATCATTTTGTGTGCCTTCATGCTGACACCATCCACGTGAATTGTAATATCAGTACCAACGGCTTGATCTAAAAGATTCTTCAAATTTACAGACAGTTCTTGCAAACACTCTAAAGGGGTATTGTCATCACTCCTAGTTTCTGTTACTAATTCTCTAGAAGAATTCTGAACGGGCACTATTTCCGCATTAATGCATTGATCCAGAGCTACATCTTTGACCTCCGTTACTTTTTGAACAAAATTTTGAGCTGACAATGTCTCTTTATTAGTGTTCTCAACTACTATAAAACACCTGATAAATAATGGAAAGTTTAAGGAAGGAGAATATAGAAATTTCGGAAGCATATTGAAGCACATACATTCTTTCAGACAAGTAAAAGATAACATATGAGTATGAAGAGATTCATCATTTGCATCAAATAATGTGATGGTGCAATGCATATATACTTCAAGGATATCTCGACTTCTTATCCACAGAAATATCCTATTTGCATTTGTTAAAGTAAATGTATAGTACCAGAAATGTGAGCCAATAGCTTGAAAGTCATCACTCCGCAAAGAAGAACCGGGTATTAGATCAGATTTTTCAACTTTTAGTTTAGTTAGAATCATTGTTTGAAAATCATTTGTAAAACGAGCAGTGTTTTGTAAACGAAGAGGCATTGTAGATCAACTTCAAACCACACAAAAAAAAAAACTATTTGCTCAGAAATGAATACATTTGTTCTGAATTGATAAATATTATCTTCTTTTTTTTTAACTTCGACTGCAATTGTTCTTATCGATTTAACACACTTGTTTCGTAGCAGAATTTATAGCTCAGCCCTTTTACTGGAAAGTGATAAAAATAGAGATAAAAGATAACGAACAAAATCCTTGTGTTTAGACCCAGTTTAACATGTCACTATCATTATATGAAATAGATTAGATCGTTTTAATATTGCTACAATCGATGAAGAATTTTGATTTTATTTATTTCCTTTATAGTTAAGTGAATCACATTTTTTCTAGAAATATCGACATTTCAGCTGCTTTTCAGGAGAGTGGAATATCCAACTGGGAACCGAAGGCGTATTGACAAAACATACCGTA